TGTGTGTGTGTGTGTGTGTGTGTGTGTGTGTGTGTGTGTGTGTGTGTGTGTGTGTGTGTGTGTGTGTGTGTGTGTGTGTGTGTGTGTGTGTGTGTGTGTGTGTGTGTGTGTGTGTGTGTGTGTGTGTGTGTGTGTGTGTGTGTGTGTGTCTCCCCTGTGTGCGTGATAGAGAGAAATGGTGGGCAGCCAGTGTCATCATTTTTTCACACACCCGTCTTCTCCACCACATGCATATTTCATGGAAGCGGTCATTATGTCGCCAGCAGGAGGGTTTCTTGGCCAAGCCACCCCACTGTGTGTGTGTGTGTGTGTGTGTGTTTTTCCCCCTGTGTGTTGTCAGAGTGCAGGCTGAATATGATTGAATTATTTAAATGTTTGTTCAGTCAATGAATATCTCTAAATGTCAAAATCACACCGGACAGCAGCTGGCTGTTTGCAGCACCTGTGGCAGTGCTCCTCGTGCTGCAGGAAGAGCCGCCTGTGTTGGACTGATGTCTTTTTTTTTTTTTTTTATCTGCAGTGTGGTTCAGATTCAGACTGAAGGCATCAACATCACAGTCACGAGTTTGGGTCTGCTTCCTTTTTGATAAATACATACGTGCGCTTACAGGTTGTCTAAAGTGACAAACGACAAGAATCGGTCTACGTCCTGACTCGTAATTCTGTCTTGATGTTGTATACATCAGACTCTTTGGGTTTGTGTGTGTGTGTATGCATTGCTCTGCATATGTGGCAGCTGTACACAGGATGCAGTGTTTGGTCTGTAAACAGAAGCCTCTGCTCTGTCACTTTTAGCAGTGTGGAGCGTGGGTTTAGCCCAGATGGTGCAAAACGGTTCTCTCAATGCAGGAACCCAAAAACCACATACTACAGTGAGCCTTTTAACCTCTACTTAAAAAAAATCCATCCATCCATCAGTTGATTTCACAGAGAATTAATTCACAATAATATAGGAATCAATATTGTCCCATTTTAAGCAAAATATCAAAATATAAATGAATCAGTGGTTAGAGCAGCTCAATGCAGATATTTGGTTGCTTTCTTTTCGTCTTTTTCCTGAATGTATTTGAGCTCCAGGTAAAACAGGGAAGTTGAAAGATGTCACCTTGGTTTTTGGAAGTTCATAAATTTGTCTTCTCTTTTCTGACATATTGTCAGCAACTAATAATGGAGACATCACACAGGCATGTTTTATTACATTTTACCAGCTTTATAGATTGTAGGAATTGTCTTTCCACATTGTGTTTCTATGTGTTGATGTACCTTAAGTCTAACCCATTTAAAGAACTGAGCATATAGAAAAGGTGATGATTTCCCAACATGATGGATAGTTAGTTAGTTAACTAGTTGCAATTGATCAAATTAAAATCTTTGTGTCATCTGTCAGAATAATAGTGTTTTGGTAAAGTCTAAGCAATAAGCAGGCCTAATAAAGTTGTAGTGTTTTTTGTCAGGATCCACAAATAAGAAATCTTGTAGGGCCATTTGTTGCTAGGACTTCTGATCATGCTTGATCATTCTTTTTTTTTTAGAGATATCGAATGGGAAATAAAATGCAGCACATTTTCCACTCGTTCTTTATTTTTAGATGTATTAAATGTAGTTCTTTTATTTGTAGTATATTGTGGTGTTCTGCACTATGCAGGCACTGAAAGTTAGAAGTGTAAAAGTGGAACATGCTTTACAGTAAAGTGCATGACTTGGAAGGTTTCACTTCCTTTCCCCCCTGTTGTCAATGCGTCGGTCATAATGATACAGTACAGCTCTGTGGTTGGTCTCACTCATCAGAGTGAGAGGGTTTTCTTCACAGTTCACACCAAGGCTTCAAAATGAAAGTTTTTAGGTTCTTCAATGTTTCACTTTTTTGACTTGTAGCAACGTTTGAAAGTGGTAAAATAAGATTCAGTCTGGTCATCTACGTCACTCGCATCTTTGTCACATTTCTGTAAAATAATGGACGTGTAACAAAAGTTAAAGAGTGAGGTAAGGAGTATTTCTCTTTAATGTATTCGGTAAGTTCTTTAAACAAATATGATATGCATTCTAGTAAAATTATCCTTTTGTTTTACTCAAGAGAAAATCTTTTTTTTTTTTTATTTTTTTTTTTACAGTTAATCATTAATTAATAGGCCATACAAGGATAATTCTTGCATTCATGAATTCTGTTGCAGATATTAGAAATGCTATACTATTGTCATGTGTATGCAAACCCCCCCCCCCACCCAGATCAAAATGCCACTGCTATGGTGAGGTCAGGAAACAAAGCCCCCAGCGCTCATATATGTCTTTGTAAATGTCAATTACATGCAAAAACTCCAGAGAAAGCTTACAACAATGTGTCTTATTATTAGAAGACGACGAAACAAATCATATTCAAAGGCTTTTAGGTTTAGTCCTTTGTACGGACACAACAGCACAAAAATGCTGTAAATAACAATAAAAGTGTGCGTTACAATAACTGATTATGAAAGCAGCACAATGAGCACTGACAGCCTGCATGCTTTGTCTTTGAAGCCATGTGTGTTGGTGCCTTTGTGCTTTTTTTTTTTTTTATCCCTGCTCTGTCATTAAAAGAGATGAAGGGAGGAGGTTTGTCAAAGACAGTCTTACAGGCAGTATCTAACTGTGTGTGTGTGTGTGTGTGCGTGCATGCATTTTAGCTCGAAGAAACAAACAGCTGATCGTACATAAACAGTGTAGATTGCCTTCATTGATGCTTGTTAATCTGTCATTACTAGCTGAAAGTCAGGATCTTTAATTATAACTTGTACAGTTCTTGCTTTCGTTGCTGTAGAGAGGTGATCATAAGAAACAACAGTGCCACTGTTCTCATTCTCAGAAAATAAAATAAAAATCACCTTTTTATGTAAAGGAAGTGGAACTACTTTCAGTTCTACCGTGGTGTTTATTTCTGGTAGAATTTAAGTATGAACTTTTCTAATACTTCCTCCTGGTCTTACATTCTTCCCTTCAAAGCCAGCCTGACTTAAGTGAGGTTTTAAGACTTTAAATGTGTCATAACAGCAGTGTTCTGGTTCACATTGAACTTAAACCTGTGATGTGCTGTGTCAAAAGTTATCTTAAGAAAACCCTCAATAATAATGAACTGTGATGTTTAGTTTTAGAAATCCAAGCTGGGTGTCTATAAGCGTTTGTTTTTTGATTACTTCAGCCGAGGAATGTCAGCAACTTGCAGGGAGCGGCTTCATGTGTTTATTATTGAACTCAATCTTTTACAGCTACAGGAAGTGCTGCATTACACTCACTGAGGTTGTAACCTTGTCTTCTCTTTGTTAAGTTTCACCTGAAGGAGGGCACATATACATTTGCACAGTTCCCTTAAACCTGAACCTGTATCAGAAGTCAGTGGATGCTGCCTTATTACCATATACACTACTTGCTGCAGCAGCTCCAGTCTGCACTGCCTCCAGTTTTGTGTGGAAAGGTGCTGATCCAGCAGACAGGTTCGACTAAACTGATCAGGAGATTAACCTTTTCTAAAACTATGACTTTAATGGAATACACATTATTTAAAAAAGGGTTGTACAACATACAAAAACCAAGCCAGATGAAGACAGACCACGGGTGCAGATCTTTTGAAATTCAATCCAGCTATGTATTTTTACACCTATAGGTTAGCAGAGGAGGGAGGGAGTGCAGAAAAGGAGTGGCAGGAAATCTCTGGCCTCCTATACACTGTTGTGCGTGTTGCATGAGCACATAATTACCATACTACATACTGTGCTCTGACAGGAAGGATTGTTTTCTGACAAAGCCGTTAAACTGGAGGAAGTTGATCATTTTATGCTGCAGTTTGTTTGCTTCTACAAAATAGTATCAGGGTCAAATTTAGTGTCTGTTTTGGCTCTTTATGAATGTTTTGAATGACATAATGATAACAGGAGGGCAAAGATGAGCGATATTGCGTATTTGCATGTGTGATGGAAAGGACCATCACTCTCTCTCTGCCAGCTCAGCAGTGTAGTTCCTCTGAAGAAATCAAACCGAGCGTGATTTGCTCTCACCTGATTGAAGCTCACATTGCACCAGAGGAAATTTGCATCAAGTTCAGCTTTTTCAACTTTTCCCCTGTAATGCTGCTGTGTGCCTTTTTAAAATCTCTGCACAGCTCTGCAGGCAGCAGCAGACTTTATATCCAGGTCTCTTTTCACAAGCTCGAAGTCTGTATGTATGACATGTCCCTACAGTACCTTTTTGTCCTGGCTCGGTCCTGAGATCTTTACAAATTCGGTCTTACCCACACAGGACACCTCATTTTAAAAAAGCATCTAAAACTAAACTAAAAATAGTTTCTCATCCTGCAGAGGTTTGTATCAGATATTCCCCTGAATTACTGTGCCCTTTACTCAACCCTCTTGAGTTTTAGCCTCAAGAGAAAAACTGTTTCATACAAGTTTCATACGGTGTTGTTGCCCCAGGTGCTGCTTAAAATATGCATTCCCATCAAGGAGGATCAATTTGAGAATGCTAAATGGATAAAAGAAACAGGTGAATTGGTGGCTGTATTGAAGACAAGTATATTGATTACCCATATCTCATTTGAAATATGTCAGTATACCTTAAAAATGATAAATCGACTTTTAGATTTTACTCATTAATAATTGTTGATTGTAGGGCGAGGAGGTTCTTGTATTAGATCTGCTCCAATACCATTTTTTTCACACAATATTTGACTAACACTGATTATTGACAATTGGGCTACCTTTGACTAACACTACACTCTCTTCTAACGTCACAGGTCACACTGTTGTCATTCATTGTGGTCAACGATAATATAAACAAAACCAGTTGACTCTTTGGTTGGCTAATGAGCTTTTTTTAAGAAGTAATGGAGGCCAACAGCCTCACTGGTTTGAGTATCATGTCAACACGATATTGGCCGTGTATCAATACCTTTTGTACATCTCCCTTAATTTGCTGTTGGTGTTGCTTCTCAAAAGTTAATTTCTCGTTCTTTCTCTTTATCTCCCCCATTACAGCAAATGGTGATGAGCCTGCGGGTGTCGGAGCTGCAGGTACTGCTGGGCTACGCCGGCCGCAACAAGCACGGACGCAAGCACGAGCTGCTGACGAAGGCGCTGCACCTGCTAAAGGTCGGCTGCAGCCCTGCAGTACACATGAAGGTGAAAGAGCTCTACCGACGACGCTTCCCCGCAAAAATGATATCCCACTCAGAGCTCACCATGCCCGGGCCACACCACCCAGCCTCAGCGGGAATGGTCGGAGGGGGCGGCGCTGCCCTGCCCGCTGGCCTGACACAGCTGGCATATGAGGGCCATGCCGGTAATGGAGGAGCCCCTTCGCCTGCCGCCTTATTGCCCCTCTCACTGCTCGGGCCAGGGAAACACGAATTGACCGGGCTGACACACCACCTGTCCAACTCTACCACGCTGCATCCGGTCCATCCAGACGTCAAACTGCAGAGGCTGCCCTTCTATGACATGCTGGACGAGCTCATCAAGCCCACCAGTCTAGGTGAGAACAGGTGTGAGTGTTTTTAGTGTGAGAGTTGGTAGATGGACACATTGACGCACAACCTTTTGCTAAATACATAATAAAGGGTAAAATACACACGTTTGGATGATTTATGGCATGTCTGTCAGATAAGCTGATAGCAAGAGTTTGGTGTTTAGTGATATGGAAGAGTCAAATTTGGTTTAAGTATACAAGAATAGCCGTGTTGGGCAAGCCACGTATAATGTAGTGAGCTAAGCTTCTACTGCATACTCCACTTAATATTAAGCTTCACTACACCAAAGCTACACCTCGGAGAAATGAAACAAGCTTTATTATTATTATTACGAGTAGTAGTTGTAGTAGTAGTAGGAGGCATTGAGGAATAGACAGTTGATGTCACTGTCATACAGAAGTAGCGTTCTGCTGCGCTTCAACTTTCTTGTGGGTGAAATGTAGCTTGGCTGGTATGTTACCACTGCAACAACTAAGCTACTGAAAAGCTATGCGAGTCAGAAAACAGCAACGCTTCCACAAAGCCTCTGAAAAATGTATTAAATATGTTTGTTGTTTCATACAGAACAGAATGTATACAGCAGCCAAATTCTATATGTAGAAATGTAAAAATACACGCTGCATAGAAGGTTGTGGAGGTGGTTAAGACACACACCATTTATAGTAACCATGGAGGTTTTGTACGCGTCATCTCCTCTCTCCCCGCCATATGTTTCTTATCTGTATCTTCAACAATCCAGTGAATTTAAAAACAACAAGAAAGGTCAAACGCGATCTTTTCAGTATCTCTTAACTATTTACACCATGACAGTCACAGATAACACGTTTTATCATGTTTATATTTAACCCCTATCTGACGACGAGTAATCCAGTTAAATTAAAAACTGTCTTTGACATTTGTGTCTTCTTTTACTTTGGAGAGCAGTCTACAGAGCTGATGCTGTGGCCGCCTGCTAACGTAATAACACGACACAGAATTGTTACTTCAGAAATACAATGGCATATTTCCCCCAAAAGACAGAGAGAGTCGACGAAGGCCCCAAATGTTACCAAGACGTTATAGTGAAAAATATTAAGTTGGTGCTTTAACCATCTCTAATAGTGACATTCAGCCTCTGAATGCATTGTAGGTAAATAATCACTCCTATTTGCATATTTGTATGGATTGCTTTGCTGGAGTTTGTTCAGTGTGGGCCTGAACATTGAGTATGAGCATTGAGTGCCCCCTCCCCCATGATGAATTGTCATTATTCTTTCACTGTATGTTATATATCAAGCTGTGAGAATGTTTTTACAGCTATGTGAGGGCTCTGAATATCAATGAAAGGCTGCATGTGGATCATCAGCTACATACATTGAGTGTATTGCATTTATCTTAACATAGGGTCACATGTCCTAGAGGAAACTATATATAGTGTGCAATGACAGTTCAGGCAGTATAACCGTCATCCTGTAGCTCTGCAGAGGGAACAGTTCTGCTATAGCTCTGAATGAAACCATGTGCTACTGAACAAAGCTAAACTCCACATGTGGCGACTCTTAATTATAATCTAAGCGTCAAATTAAATTTCAATGTTTACCACTTTGTGTAATGCACAGCACCTTATTCTACTGTATGTACAAAAGATATTTTTAAAAGTAGAAAGAATAGCCCGCACTCCAGAAGCTTTCCGGCCCTCGCCCTTTATCAGACATGAACAAGTGAAATGGACACACCTCCCCACACACACACACACACACACACAACATACATGTGATATAAAACCAAGATCAATATACAATATAAGTTGTGCAAATATTTAAAGGACCACAGGACCTATGCATAGACATCACAAGTACAAAAAATGTTTTCATTACTATACAACTCCAGCAGAAAAAACCTACAGTAATTGGAGGATTACCATAATAACTTGAATTGCATGACTAAACATCAAGAGAAACCGTCATAATGTCATGTCAAACAAGGAAATGAAATAAAAACTAGAGATAAATATTTACTTTGTACTTGAGTGCAACAGTTAAAGTATTTTTAATGTTTGATTAAAACTTTGTCAAGAACCTGAAAACATGGTTTCAAATCTTGAAAATGTTTACATTCTTATCATGAAACAGACTTTTTTATTGATTCATATGTTTGTAGTTAAATGTCTGCTAATGTACTACTTCAGAACTACCTGACTGTGTGTTGATAAAATGCTAAAGACACTGGCACTTATCGAATGATCCACCAAAGATTAAGAGATTCATTTTGAATTCAAATGTTATAAAAAGTCATTTAGAATCAGTGAGACTAATGCACAAGTCTAACACATAAAATGAGCACAACACAAAAGTGGTGTTCATGTAAGATCCCCTCTCGCACGAAGACTGATTGAGAAAATTGTTGTACATGGCTCTAATAAGTTTACATTTCAGTGTTTAAGCAAGCACCCTGTCTTGTATCCAGTCGTCACTCTTACTCACTACTTTGGAGACTTTTAATCTTCACTTTATCTTGATTAGATTGTGTTCAGTTGTGCATCCAGCAGCCAGCCTGCATTTAGCATAATAACTCTCTTTGGGCTCTGGACTGTATTGCAAATATATGTAAATGTCTACATTTTCCTACATTAGCATTTTAATGGAGTTAGAGAGACCATCTCATGATTAATTTGCCTGCAGACGCGTGTACAAACACAGAGCCTGCAGCTCTGTCATCACACCATCTTTCTCCTTTTTCCCTCTCCCTTCCACACTCCGTCCATTTCCTGCTTGTTCCATCCCTTTCGGTGTCCCTCCATCTTCCTCCACGCTCACTCTGTGTCTCGTGGCCATCCTCGGTTGAAATTTGCATGCAAAGTGATGAAATCCCACAGGCATACACCTGTGCCTGCAGAACACACCCTCCTCTCATTTGAATCTGAATCGCATGTTCACATCTCTCATTCTCTCTCTCTCTCTCTCATCTCTCTCTCTCTCTCTCTCTCTCTCTCACACACACACACACATTTGCATATACTGTCCGTTCAAACCACACACATTCTTTCCAATAAATAATGCACGCTGATCGTATTGTTCCCAGAGAAGCAGAGAGCGCGAAAAATGATGTCTGTGAGGAAACTGGGGCACATTGTTTAACTCAGCTGGAATTGTATTCTTCTATATGAAACTCATTTTGGAGGTGACGACCCTCTTTATGGTAATAATAATGAAGGCCAGTAATGAATCCACTTAATTAATTACATGTCTCAGCTTGTGGGTAGACTGGGGGATATTTTTTTTTATCTCTTACTTGAAGCAGCTTTGGTCTCAGTTTCTACCACAGTCGGTCTTCTCTGCATGTTTACTTCTCTCTGATCTTCTGATTACAGCTCAATCCCTCTCCTCCTCTCTCTTCTTCTCCCCCGTTGTTGCTGCCCCTCCTGTTGCCTCAAATTTCTTTATCTCTCACTTTCTCTTTTTTTTTTTTTTTTTTTTAACTGGCTCCCTTCCCCCACTTGCTGGCTTGCTCTCTTGGTTTGTGAGATTCATTTTATTTTTGCAGGAGATAGCCCATTTATTCAATGTCTGTCCTCAACATTTCTTAAAGGCTTTTAAAAGGGGTGCATGGTTGCAGCAGTATGATAATTTTGGTGCATAAAAGTACTTTGATGCAAAAGAGAGAGAGAGAAAAGGTCACGACCTCCAAAAGTCTACAAGACAAATAAATGTAACAGAGCACAAATAATGTGCATCATCATAGAGAGGAGCATGAAGTGATAAACCTTAAAATGTGATGTTAACAAAGCACATTTTTACACACACTCCTGGAACGCAGAAGCATTGCAATGTGAAAAGCATGAAAGACCAAAATTGTGAAGGATGAAAAGAGAGAATGAGTTACAGCAATTGCAGGATTTTAAAGCTGATCAACCCACAGACAAGCTGAAGGTCGAAACATGCGAGTAGATTAAAGATTTATTGATTGTAAATGTGTAGGCTGAAGCTGCAGCTGTTTGAAGCTGCTATTTTTAGAATAGAGTAACCATTAAATATCTCCAAATTACACTCTACTGATACAATACTGTGTTTATAAGGTCATCCTTAGACATGAACACTTCAAGACTTTTGCACAACAGCTCCCTACTGCATCTGTTATATAAAATCAGAACTTCAATCGAATAAAAAAACAGCATATTTCTCTTCTGCTGGAAATCCATCAATGTAAGCAACTTTAGGATGCTCTCATGCTGTGTTTCGTTTTACTTTATACTCGATCTGTGCTATTCTATTATTCAACCAAGTGTTAGAGCCTTTAGTTTTATTGGCGGTGGTTTATTTCGTTCTTCATATTTTCTGAATTGGAAAAAAAATGGTTTTCTTTAATATTAGCACTTCACACAATGAAACATGTAATATAAAGATATAAGGATGTTGTAGATGGATTTATGAAAGCATCACTCAGTAATAATTAAAGCCTGTGCTCCGTCAATAGAGAGCCTCCTCAATGCGACATCAGTCCAAGTTCTGCAAACTCCTCAAGCTGCAGTAGCATACATCTCCATCATAAACCAGACATAAGAAAAAAAGTGTTTTCTGACCAGCTGCATCTACATTCATATTTAAATAAGGAATTTAAATGCATGTAAATTCAGATTTCCTGCCTGTACCTGATTTCTCACTGTAGCCTGGTTTCTTGCGTGTATGGGAATATAGTCATTATCTATCTCACACCATCCTCCCTCTCTGTCTCCCTGTCATTATTCCTCCTCGTCTTCCCTCCCTCCCTCCCTCCCTCTCGTACAGCCTTGTGCTCTCTGCTCAGTCTGCTCAGTTCCTAGGATAAAGGTGAGCCCACAGTTTAGCCCCGCCAGTCCAAACTGATCAACAACTACTCCTTTATTACCATGGTGACCTCGCTGCTCGAACGCCAGTCTCATCTCCGTCATTTTCAGTCCTCCATTGAGAACTATGCCTCTGTACTCATTATGGATTTCACTGTGGCTCGCATGCATTATACATGATTTAATCACCACATCTCCGGTAAA